CGACGGCCGCCGGACCACCGCAGAAGCACCGCCGAACCGCTGCAGGAACCTCGCCGGACCACCACCGAAGCCTCACCGGACCACCGTCGGAGTTTCATTGCACCACTGCCTTAAGTTCCGACGTTCAGTCCCGGCGTCCTGCTGAAGACCTGACGTCCTGCTTAAGACCCGACGTCCTACTCAAGGCCAGACCATCAACATCCAATCTTCCAAGTGACACTGGGACTAACACCTGACTCCTTGTCTCCTACCACCTACGGTCCTTCTGACCTTCGTCGCCTACTATGATCCTTCCGACCTCCATCACCAGACAATGGTCTTTCAGACCCCAGACTCCTACCGCCTACGGTCCTTCAGGCCTTCATCACCTACTATGGTCTGTTCGACCTACATCACCAGACAACGGTCTTTCAGACCCCAGTTTTCTATCGACTACAGTCCTTCAGGCCTTCGTCGCCTACTATGGTCCTTCCGACCTCCATCAACAGACAATGGTCTTTCTGACCCCGGTCTCCTGCCGACTACGGTCTCCTGCCAACTACGGTCCTTCAGGCCAAACAAACCTATATATGTAACTCCTACCATGTAATGCAATCTATATGATGTACATTTGCTACATCAATCCAAGGCCTTCTCCTAAGGAAGGACCTCATTTGTAATCGACTACAAATACTAGTGGATTCATTCAAACTGGGCCAGGCCCCGTGGTTTTTTCCCCTTTTTCAGGGGTTTTCCATGTAAAAACTTTGGTGTCTCTTATGAATGTTTCACCCCCTCTTATCTGTTTGTGTGCTGGATCTTCGTACAATGCTAAGACGTTAAACTAAACATTTCTCTACCGTCGCGAATACTCCAGGACGCAACAAGTATAAAAGAATAACTAAAACAAAAAGAAACAAAACCTAAAAAAATTTTGATTTGATTAATCTCACGCACCCAATTCTATGCTCTGACCTGAAAATATTTAACCTTATATAATGAGCTAAAAAATCTAGCACGTCATCAAAACTTATAACTGAACTCAATACAAGATAAAAGAGCAATATGCATCAATAATCAAATCATAATAGTAGCATTCGCATAATCATATAGAAATCAGTAAATCAGTATAGGTGTCAAATCACTAAAGAAATTATCGTATCAATACTACAATCAGTAGATAAATAGTATAAAATAATAAAATCAAATCATGTATAAAATCAAATCAGTAAATCAGTACATGTATAAATAGTATAAACTTTCTCTCTCCTCTTTTTTCTCTCTAAGCATTCGGCTATTCATTAACGTTAGTTGGAGACTAGTGAGCCGACAAGCTTTTCTTCAAATACTGTAGTTTGGTGTTATCTTCTACTGATTCGCATGATACTGATTGGGAGTTATAATGAGATGATTATTGTGTCGACGGGCAAAGAGCGACGACTCTATTTATTGAGCCAATAGTTTACTGACACTAATACAATACTAAAAAATGTCATAATTGCTAGAATTTTTACGTGTTTAGTGTGACTACTGAACTAAATGTTATTTAGGCACTGTTTGTTTTATTGTATGAATTTATTATTAACAATGTTACTGATTTATTGATACAAAGAGTATGATATATATACATTGAGCACGTGATATTCATGATATACTGAGCATGAGATTAAGATTTTGATTTAAAACTCATATAGAATAATTATATATCATATTTACACTCCTATATGATTTTACTACATTGATTTGATTTCGACAATTTTTATGGATTAATTGATTTTATTGTTTTATACAATTACTCTACTAATTGTAGTATTGATACGATGATTTCTTTAGTGATTTGACACATATACTGATTTATTTATTTTCTTATGATCATGTGAATGTTACCGTTATAATTTGACTGTTGATATGCATATTGATACTTACCTTGTGTTAAGTTTAGTTATAAATTTTGGTGGCCTATTAGGCTTTTTAGTTTATTATATGTAGTTAAATATTTTCAGGTCAGCATAGAGGATCAAGTGTGTGAGATTGATCATATTAGGATTCTTATGATCTTTTTTTTAGTTATTCTTTTGTATTTATGATAGAATAGTGGTGGTATGATTGTATAAATCTTGAGTAGTATTTATGATTTTTAGAAAATGAATATAGATGTATATATTGATGTTTTGATTGATATTTTTATTTATGCTAATATTTAGATTGATAAAAGAAATTAGATAGTTCTGATTGTGTAAATTTAAAAAGATCATTCTTTAAATTAGATTCTATGATATCACATCTCTTGTAGGTGAATTCTATAAGTTGTAAGGTTGCATTGATTGAATCATCAAACTCTAAGCCTATCATACAACTCCCTCCCCTTATAAGGTCGTGATTCTTCTTGGGTTTGATGTATGTGAAGAATTATTAGATGTGAATAATAATACTAGTGTGTGTTCTGATGAAATTCTATACCTAACAGCTACACTTATAATATTCATATCTAATAATTTCTATGCATATCCATAATTATTCACATCTTCTACAATGATGTGCAGTGTCTTCTTCAATATTTTGTGATACACCCAGGGGTGAAACCACGAAGACCTCAAGCTAGGCAATTACACAGCCTGAACTTTTTTTAACTATTTTGTCCAGCTTCAATAAATGCAATTACCCAAATTCTAAGAAAAAAAATTATTTTATATTTCATATATAAGATTATATATATTTCATAATCTTATTTTTCCAACTAGTTAGCTGTCTTCCTCCCTTCCAATATACCATGAGTTTAAAGCCTCTCTCTCTCTCTCATCTTCTTTAGTAAATGGACATGGTGAGAATGAAGAATTAAAATATTAGATTAGAGAATGTTGTACCACTTACCAAGTTATGTGCTGGCTGGACTCTTATTCGCCAAGTACTCATAAATGATAAAACATTTATGAATTGTGTAGGCATTTGACTACTTGTTCTGCCTACTTTAAGGCTTTATTTGAAATAGATTTATTATTATTTTCTAAAGCAGCTTTCTAATACTTTTTTTTTTCTTTTGAAATAAAAAATTTGATACTAAAATGCTACTTTAAAAATTAGAAAAAAATTATCTCAAACAAAGCCTAAATCAACCAATTCAATTCAATGTAATCAAGGGTTGACCTTTCCTTGACATATTTAAGAGCTATCATTGTGATTGTACTCTCATCAACCTCAAAATAGTAATAGTTTTTTTATTAAATTCAAGAGAAACTTTATGACCTAATTCACTAATGCTAAAAAATCATAATAATACTATCAAGTTAATGAAGAGGAAGGGTTTGAAAAGGTTGGTGGTTTGCGTGATACCTTCGTTCGGGTGGGTAATCGAAGGAAGAGAAAATCCAAGAAATATTGTTTTGTGTTTGGCTTGGTGGCTGTTTCTTTGGGCCGTGGGGTGTTCGATTGTATGAAATTTTCCATGGCTAGTGAAGATTTCTTCTTTTTTTTTGGTGTAGTTCCTCTTCTTTTGTTTGTGCAGGTTGTTGTGGTGCCATTTTTTAGAACTTTGGTTTTCGGATTTGGATGGCATTTTGTTCTGATTGTGATGGTTGACTGCTGAATTTCTTGTTTTATTGTAATTAGTAGATCAAATAGCTCTTAGGTTTTACGTTAAAGGCTATATTTTTAGATGAGCTTATGAATCTTTAAGAACTTATAATTCCTCTTTTATTCAACGTATACGCCCCTCCATGAGTTTTATAATAATAATAAAAGAAGTTTTATTGTTAATTTTAATGCAACATCTTGAAGGCCTAGTTGATTAAAATCAACATAAAAGTTATGAAAAACTATGCTAGCATCCTAAAACATATAAGAACTTGAAATTTCAATAAAAAAGCCAATGTTATGCTCCAAACTTAGAGATGTTTAATATATCCAAATTTAAAAACTTAATTTTATTTTTTTTAGTATAATTATAAATAATACTAATTATATAAATTCATATTATCATTATTATTATTAAATATAATAATTAATTAAAAGAGAGTATGCCATGTAGCATGGAGAAAACTCTTGGTTAATTAAAAGCAACTTAAATTTATCCTCTTAAAAAAAATATTCACTCTAAATCTACAAGATATCCATAAATCACAACTCATGACTACTAACAAAAATATTTCAGTTATGTTAGATCAACTATCTCTGCTGACTAGAATATATTAGTGATCATGACAATCCAACATGTCGAAATCATGGAATCACTATCAAGCTCATCATTATTTCTCCTACCACCTATGTTATACTAAAAATATTGTAAATTTCTTCAAATTTTAAAACCAAATTGTTATTATTATATAGTAAGCATTTAGCTTCTAACAAGAAGTCTTAATTCAAAATTCACTCTCATCATAAAGAGGGATAATTAACCATAAAGACTTACACTTATAAGAAATCCGGAACAAAATCTTGAAGTCCTCGCAAAATATGAAATTGACTTATCTTCCATCTTATGAAAATTTGACCCTGAATCATTGAATTCTCTCAAAAGAACCAAATTGTGAATATTCGAAGCCCATATATATATAACATGTTCTATTTCATAGCAATCATATTAGAAGCAAAAATCAATTTCAAAGAGATGTAACCATCTCATCACTGAAATAACATAAGACAACACAAAATGGCAATATCATCAGATATCCATAGTTTTTAGAACTCAAGAAACTAGCACATACAAGTTGAAAGTTGATTACAAAATATAGAAGCAAACATAACTGCTTAACAGTAGTGCTCCTCAAACCCTAGTGATTGTTGATCAACCAAATTGTTTTGTTATTTTGGCCGACTTAGACTTCGTTCCGGACGACTTTCTTTCTTCTTCTTAAAGTAACTTACTAGTACAAAATTTTAATTTTTGACTTAAAAAGCTGCTTTAAGAATCAGTAACAAAGTCGTCCCAAACGAAGCCTAAAATTATTGGTCGACCACCAATATTATTTACGACAACCTTAGCTGAAAACATGGTATGAGTTGAGCCACCAAACATTAGAAAAACATTAATAAAAAGCAATCAAGCTTGTCAAAAACACCATTCAAACATAGGCTATAAACATATTATAACAATATTTTTCCATCTGAACCCAGACAAATCAGATCAGGATTAATGATAATGCTGTCAGAAAATATGATCCAGTGGACTGAACTACCAACTGTACAACAGATAACAAGATGAGCAATCTGTAAGAGGATGAATATCACAAGCAATTTCCTATGTAAACTCACGTAAGCAAAAAGAGCGACTAGCTAGAGAGCAAGAAACAGAACACCACAGAGGATTTCGCAAAAGGTGGGTTGTGAAACACATAGAAAAGGGAATTCGACTGGGCTAATACCTGTTATAGCTTAAGGTTCATCAAGGACTTCAAAAATCCCTCCTTGGTAATGAACTAAAACGCTGGGTTCGTCTTGTATGCCCAACCATGCTCCTTGAGAAATGCACGAGCGGCTCCCTTGATGGCAAGGTTTGGTATCAACTCATCCTTATCAAGCGGTTGCCTCGTAATAGGATCAAAGTTACCAACCTGCGTTGAAATTATTATAGGTGTTACAATGATTAAGGTTTCATTTGGGATGGTTTTCTTCCTGCTTCTTAAAATAGTGCTTTAGTACAAAAAATTTATTTTTGGTACTAGAACACTATTTTAAAAAGCAGTAAGAAAGTCGCCCCAAATGAAGTCTAAGTTTAACACAGGTCAACCTTCTACGAAGCTTTTCTCAATTCCATTATAGATCAATAGCATCAGATCATTAGTGAAAGAAAAGCACAATCATATTGTTATAACAAAATAAGTTTCATGAGATGAAAAATAAAGCATTATAAATATTTGACAATTCTCTAGATAGCTATCAGGGGGGAAACAAAGAACAAGAGGTAATTTTAAAAGGAAGTGCATTTTATGTGCCATTAGCATTATATATGGAGATATAGAGTGAGAAAGAAAGAGAGAGGGAGATAAATTCTTTCCAAAAATGTCAAAGCATTGATGCTTAGGTGCTATGGAATGAACCTTTTCAAGATGTTCAAGAAGTACAGCTTTTTCATAAGTAAAACCACTTGGAGTGATCACAGGATCCTGGAAGATATCAAGTGTGATATTGCAACATAGATAGTCAGGTACCTGGAAAAGGAAAGCGAAATCATTACCACTGATATGAGAAATCTACAAGGTCAGTGAGAATGATTAGACTCAGCTATCACTTCGCTAGGAGTGTCATCCTCCAAAGCTTTACTGAAGACTTCATTAAGAAGTTCAAATTGGTCAACTTTATCATCTGAAGATGCTTGAGAACCATCTTCAGACTGAGGATCTTGAAGAGACTGATGCAGGATAAGAGCACTTTCACATTCATCCCTTAAGAATTTAGGACGAGTTACATAAAATCATAAAGAAAAGTAGTTGCATAGAAAAGTAAAGAAATTAAAGGGCAGTTGCTCAGTAAATCTAGATCAAAGAATGCAACCTACTTGAGTTTCTGCAACCTCCATGCCCGTTTACTTGATGAAAGTTCCCACTCCAAGTATTTGGCTTTAGCAAGTGCCTGCCATACATCCTCAACCATGTCCCCATCAGGATTTGTGCTCCTCTCAAGATCAAAGGCCTGAATTAGATAAATCATACAATTTATAATATTTCGATAATAGAGATATATTGTTGATGTATAACACTCCCGTCGCCATGGAAAATAACCTTATCCTGAGGGAAGGGAAAGATGAAGAGAGGGCTGTTAAATTTTCCCATGCGGCAACATCCGAAAATTTAATTTCCATTACAAGAAGCTTGACCGTGAAGTTGTAAAAAGGTAGAAGGGAAAAAAACATAAGGATGAATTCATAGTGACCATCATAAATAGTTTGATGAACATCATTAGAATGAATCCTAACTTGCTGAGAGGCAGAATGTAAATGAAGTTTGGGAGAAAAAAAAAAAAAAACTCTAAGCAATTCACCGAAAAATTCATGTACTACTGAAATAGTAAATTCATCTTTAATGGTGAGTATATTAAAGTCTCTAGAGTTAATACAAACATGTCAAGTATCATTCCTTTTGAAAATATGGAGAATGATAAGGACGGATATTAACTAGTGAGATAAGGATGGAAGATGAATACATTAATTAATGGTATGAGGTTGAGTTTAACCTTGTCGTGGCTAAAACAAATGTTGAGATTATTTGAGTTAGGTGGAATTGAATAATGATAGAAAATGTGTAAGAAGCGAGAAATTGGTTAGAGAATATGGCGATTGTGGAGAAGGGATTTGGCCGATGGAACCAAGGATGCCGGCGGAAGAGGGCGTAACTTGAAGGAGTAGAGTATGTGGACGGTCAATACACAAACTATCAAGTTTCTTCTCTATAAAATCCATGAAAGTATGAATTTGTTGAAGGGATGAGCCAATGGAAGTAAAATGAGCATCGGTATGCTGAAGTGACTTATGAATTTCTCAAAATTGTGATTCTTGATGATTTTGCATTGTGCACAAAGCATCCAGAAGATCAGCATTAATCATTTTGCCCTGACTTTCTGACTTTTTTTATCCAAGAAAGAGTTATGTTTCTTGCAGGTTGTTATATCTGATATAGGCGTTTAGCAGCTATGTTGTAGGCGTTGCTAATTCAATTTCTTAAGATGTAGGTAGGCAGGTCTGTTTAGCCGGATGGGAAAACACAGCTATTGGACATGTGCTAAAGGCTGAAAAACTGAAAAAAAATCCATCTAAGAAGAGGTGGAAATGAACGTGGGAGTTGGGGAATCCCCGGATGATGATCTGGGTTTATTGTTGGCTGGGAACATATGGTTTCTGCTGTCAATGCCAAACCCAACAGCTGGACATGCTAATTTTGTTAAAAAAACTGCAGTTGTGCGGCTGCAATGGAGGGTTGTTCTTGAAAACAACCGGGCCAGATGGTTTGTTGAATTGGAACAGAATGGTTGCAACAGGAGCTGATTTAACAAAATGTTTGTGTGAAGATGATTTACATCAGAAATATATCTCCGGGCAAAAGTACAAAGTAAATAATCTATACATATATAATAAGCACTAGTTGTATTCTATTTTAAATTTGTGTGAAGTAGACCAGTTCTATATTGTAAACTTTTTATATTGTAAACTTGATGTACCTAAACATTATAAATACATCTCCTAAGCAAAGGATATGCAATGAAATAATTCTGGTTTCTCCTTCTTAGTCTCTCTTCTTTCCTCTCCTTCTCTTGGAGTCTACAACTAGTCAAAAGGTGTCTTCCCCTTCTTGATATGGATCAAAAAGCATATCAACGGTGCTCTCTTAGCAGTTCCTTTTCCTTTCCCACGGTCCAACAATCAAATTCTGCACGTCTCATCTTCCTGCAGCCACAAATTGCCTCCAGCCTCAACAAACAGCCTCCAAGAAACGTTCGGGACAGTTCTTTCAGCGCACTGCCTTCAGCCTCCTACCAGACGCCACAGTTTCTCAAGTCCAAGAACCATTCAACCGCACCTGATCCTGTTTTTAGCCACTGTTCCAGCAGTTACCAGCAGTGATCCTGTTTCCAGCAGTTAACAGAAGCTGTTTACATAGGGGAACCCCTCCTAACTGCCACTTAGCTCATAAACCGACTACTTTCAAAAATCTTGGGACTTAAAAGTCCAATGGAAATTTTGTCCTCATTTTATCCCGAGTTTCAAACCCATAATAACCTTACACCTAGGATCTTTGGGTGCTCTACCTATGTTCACATCCACAGCCATAATAGAGGAAAATTAGATCCAAGAGAACTCAAATGTGTCTTTATTGGATATTCAGACACCCGAAAAGGTTACAAATGTTATCACCCCTACAAAGAAAACTCTTTTATCCATTGATGTCACTTTTGATGAACAAAATTCATATTTTACCAAACCTCATCTTTAAGGGGAGACTGAGACAGAGGGAGATAAGGAAAGTGCGCTTGCCCCTCTTGACCTTCCTCCACCACTTCAAACAAATCCACCGGAAAAAACTAGTTAGCTGCAAATGGGTGTTCTTTGTAATGTATAAAGCTGATGGTATGCTGGAAAGATACAAGGCAAGACTAGTGGGAAAAGGATACACTCAAACATATGACATTGATTATCAGGAAACCTTTGCACCTGTAGAAAAGATGAACACTGTCATAATCCTACTCTCACTAGCAGCTAAGTACAACTGACATCTGGAAAATTTTGATGTAAAAAAAGCATTCCTATATGAGGACCTGGAAGAAGAAATATTTATGGAAATACCGTTATGATTTAAGGAAAAATCTGGAGGTATGAAGGCGTGCATAAAAAAGGCTCTATATGGGCTCAAACAATCACCAAGGGCCTGGTTTGAAAAATTCTCAAACTTCATGCTTCTTAATGAGTATAAACATAGTCAAGAAGACCATGCACTATTTTTTAAACACTTAAATTCAGGGGATATCACAATATTATTAGTTTAAGTGGATGATATTATCTTGACTGGGAATAATGAAAAAGAGAAAGTGAGTCTAAGGAAAAACCTTACCAAGGAATTTGATTTCAAAAAATTTGGTAGACTAAAATACTTTCTTGGAATTGAAGTAGCTCACTCCAACAAAGGAATCTTCATCTCACAATAAAAATACATTAAAGATCTTCTGAATGAGAATGGAAAACTAGCATGCAAGCCAGTACTAACACCAGTAGAACCAAATCTCAAATTAGGGGAAACTAAAGAAGATCTAAATATAGACAAGGGTGCTTACCAGATACTTATGGAAAAATTGATATACCTTTCCCACACCAGACCAGATATAGCATTTGCTATAATTATGGTCTATCAGTTTATGCAATATCCAAAACAGACACATATGTAAGCAGTATACAAAATACTACATAACCTTAAGGGAAACCCAAAGATAGGGATTCTCTTTAGAATGAACAATTATTAGGTCCTCCGACCGGACGTAGAGGAACGTCCGGTCGGCACTAAAATCCCGCCAAAAAATTCGGTATTTGCTCGGTATTGCTAGGTATTATTTGGTAATAGCGAGGAATACCGCTCTGTAAAGACCAATACCGAGTTATACCGAGCTATACCGAGCAATACCGAGTTTTTCCTAGGGAAAACTCGGTATTTTTTTGTATAACTCAGTATTGCTCGGTATAGCTCGGTATAACTCGGTATTGGGTCTTCACATGATGGTATTCCTTATTATTGTTTGGTATTGCTCGGTATTTCTCATTTTTTGGCGCGATTTTAGCTCATACCGGACGTAGCTCTACGTCCGGTCGGAGGACCTAATAATTGTTCCTTTAGAAGAGATCATGAAATAACCATAGAAGCATACACTAATGCTGATTATGCAGGATCACCAATAGACATAAGATCAACCTCTAGATACTGCATAGTTCTTGAAGGGAACCTAGTTACATGGAGAAGCAAGAAATAAAATGTGGTGGCAAGATCTAATGCAAAAGCAAAATATAGAGCTATGACCTTGGGAATATATGAGTTACTATGGATCAAGATGATTCTAGAAGACCTAAGAATCAAATGGGACGATCCCATGAAGCTATAATGTGACAACAAATCAGCAATCAGCATAGCCCAGAATCCAGTCCAGCATGACAGGACCAAGCACATAGAAGTAGATAGACATTTTATTAAAGAAAAATTAGGCAGTGGTCTAGTATTTATTAACCATGTATCATCGAAAGATCATCTTGCAGATATCCTTACCAAAGGATTGGACAGCTCTGCCTTTCTCAGAATGATTGTCAAGATGGGAATGACACATCTATCTTACCCAGGTTGAGGGGGAGAGTTCAATCCTAGCCTCTCGTTCCCATATTGATCCCACGGCTACGAATATAGATCCATGGGAAGCTCACCTGAATCACATTGAATACCTTCCATAGCTAAGCAGCTAATTTAGGAAGGATTAGATTAAGGCAATTACTCATTATTCTGTAGTTATTTATTTCTTTATTAAGACATCTTGTATAGATCTATAAATAAGAATTATGATGTATAATAAAATTCAAGTTTTGTAATCTCAAACTCCTGATTTCACCAATAACTATCATTTTTTAGTAAATAAAATTGACTGGTTGACCAATAGTAAGAATTTCCTATTTGTTACTTGATCGATATGATAAATCTCCTAGGATGGCTATATTAATCTTAGTTGATTCAAGCTCCATATTGAGGGTGAAAGGTCATTTCATTTTACAAAACAGAAGAATTATATATTTTATAAATAATAATTATGAGTTTTGTTATTACTAATATGAATTTTCTTATTGGTCATAACTTTGCCAAGAAAAGACTTATATATTTAAATGATATTTAAATGATCGAAATGTAATTATGACCTCGGAATAATTGATAGAACAACTCAATTCCTATTTATCTTTAATCACATTCTATCGGCATTGAAGGGAAAATTAAAATTGATTTACTGATATAGACAAAGGTCGTCGATGAAATGAGATCTATAACAATAATACAAAATCCTTGATGATGATGATGATGATGATGATGATAAAAATAATTTCCAATACAGATTGCAGCAAGATACTTAAGGGAAAATGCACGGAAGACAATGACAGAAAGATCTAAGGATAATGATGGTAGGGAGATCCCAGGTATAACAATTTTGATATCCAAAGAATATGTCAATAACACTAGAAGACAACAATAACATAAAGACTTGAGTATCATAAAAGTACCAAAATCCTAAGAGAACGTCATCTACAAGAAGTGTTTACATGTTGTTTGGGAGAGGGAGAGTGACTATGTGTCCAACATATAGAAGAGGAACTGCGGCTTCAGTCATATGGATAGGACATTAGATTTCTCCAACTAATTGGTTCTACCATAAATATTTGAGAATAATAAGAAGACCTTTCATTTGCGAATTTGGGGCCAGATCTAGTCCAAATTTTATGAAATTTTACTATGAATTAACCAAGATAAAGCATATGGAGGAATTTGAACAATGGATAAAGTAATGGTTTTGTGCACATTCATCTATAAAAATAAAAGTTGAAGTTGACTATTCTTAAAAATTGACTTCCCCAAAATGTCTGCTCTCATGGCCAGTAGCATTGTGGCAACTCCTGCTCATACATGCCACTCCACTAGGCAAATTATTTGAGAAAAAAACTAATTATACCCATCCTGGGGTATAACAGAATACTGCATTGAAATAGGGCATAACATTAAAACTTAAACAACATTTTGGCAATAGAAGACAATTCTTGGATTTATCATGTTGTAAAAAGACAATTGCATGTGGTCATGTATACAATAGCGAACCTTCTCTAATTCCTTGATACCTCCAGCAAAATCTTCCCTTTCTAACAATGCAAGCCCCAACATATAACGAGCCTGTCAATAAACAAAATTTACGAAACTCTTCTGAGATATTGATAAAACTACGTTATATCAATTATTCGACAAAGATACTCTTGACTAGAGAGACTAGCTGCAGCTTATAACATGTTTAATCTTGTCCTTTATTAAAACTGGAAACAAAGAAAATGAAGAACTAGAAAAGATCATAGTTCACAAGTATAAGAATAAACCAATATGATAATAACCTTATCTCAGTATACGTAGATCAGCAAAGCAAAGACAAGGCCCAAGTACCAAAATAGTGGTTTCCAACTCATTATGATCATACCCTAAACAAGATATAATATACTCATCATTACTATTTTAGTCTTATCCCAACCAATCGGCCCCAGACTTCTATGCATAGGTTTTCAATTTAAGGCTTGATGGGGCTAAGGGTGAACTTAGTCAACATAGGTCAACCATCAGTCCCATTGAGCTCAAATCATTCAAATGATGATCATGAACAAGTTTATGACAATTCCCAAGTATTAGGATAAAGTTTAGTTCAATATACCATGTTGAGTGGAATGGGATATTGTTGTGTCCTAGAATATTCGAGGTGGTAGAGAAATATGAATTTAATATCTTAGTTTTGTATGAAGATCAAGCACACAATCAGATAAAAGAGAGAGTGTAGCGTTCATAAGAGACACCAGAGTTTTTTATGTGGAAAACCCCTAAAAAAGGGGGGAAAACCACAGGGCTTGGCCTAGTTTGAATAATCCACTGTTATTTGCAATCAATTACAAATGAGGCCCTTCCTTGGGGGGAAGGCCTTGGTTTGATGTAGCAAATATACATCATACAAAGTGCATTACAAGGTGGAAATTGGAAGAATCAAAATTGACATGTTCATTTGGTTGAAAGGACCATAGTCAGCTGGCGACGGGGGTCGGAAAGACTGTATTCAGGTGACAGTGATCGGAAGGACCATAGTCAGAGGGCGACGGAGGTCAAAAAGACCGTTGTCAGGCGACGGAGGCTGGAAGGAACGTAGTCGGCAGGCGACGGAGGTCGTAAAGACCGTTGTCTAGCAACACAGGTCGGAAGGACCGTAGTCGACGAGCGACGAAGGACGGAAAGATTATAGTCGGGTGATGGTGGTCAGAATGATCATAGTCGGCGGGTGACGGAGGTCGTAAAGATTGTTGTCTGCCAACTGAGGTCGAAAGGACCGTAGTCGGCGGGCGACGAAGGTTGGAAAAACCATTGTCTGACGATGGAGGTAGGAAGGATCATAGTCGGCGGGTGATATAGGTCAGAAAGACTATTGTCTAGCGACGGAGGTCAGAAGGACCGTAGTCGGTGGCTAGGTGGATGTCCGACGTTAGTTATTGGCCAAGCAGAAATTAGGCGTCAATTGGTGACCGAGCGTAATTCCGACGTCAAATGGTGACCGAGCGTTATCCCGGCGACAATTGGGGGCCGGACAGAGGTCCGACGATAGTCGGCAGCCGGGCGGAAGTCCGATGACAGTCGGCGGTCGGGCGGAAGTCCAGCGGTGGTTGAGGAGGAATCTGCTATCAAGAGAACTCCAGTTTCTATTCTTTCTTGCTCTTCCTTGCTTGGGCTCCCTCCTTCCTCTCACCCTCTCTCTTCCGATGAGAAATGAGGGGTTTATTTATAGTTTTTGAGAGCGGCATTGCCAATAAATAAGAGGGAGATCAAGAGTAAGTTGGGAGTGATTTGAATGGATGGCTGATGTTGATTCCTGTGATCGTGGACTGTTTTGGACAATTGAATGCTTTAGTGATGTAAGAATTTGTCGATCTTAGGCTCATTGGATTCATCTCATCGACCCGCTCGTTTTGACTATAAGGATGTCACGTTTGGAAAATGTTTGGTCATCCAATTTGTAGTTTGAACCTTTTAAATGCACTTCGGGTCTTCAATTTGGTCTTATTTGGGCTCCGATTGAGTTGAATTTGGTGTCGTTGGGTTCGTAATTCTGAGACTTTAAATTTGATTATAAGTTTGTTGAAATCGGAGTTCATATCATCCCGAATTTAATTTCGGACGTTTCCAACTTGATTTTGCTTCGAGATTCGTACCAATCATGATTAATTATTGAGGAAAAATCAGATATAATTATGTGGAAGTTCAAGTTTGCAAAATAAGCATAAAGTTAGAGAAATATTAAGCTCATAAGTTCACTCAAATAAGTTAGTTTTAATTCACCAACCCTCAAATTGGTTTGCATGGTCAAGCCCAACACTCGCCAAATAGATTTACTATTCTGTGCGGAGTCCGGGAGCGTCCAGAGACCAATAAACATGCGCCACGTCGCCCCATTGCTGGGTACCCAGCTCAGTACACACACTCGGTACCCCTCGGTACCGCTGGGTACCCAGCGCTTAACCGGAAGATTCTCCCTTCCAGTGTCCGCACAGAATAATAGCTCCACCAAATAGACCTCAACCAAGCTTGCATTGAAGGCAGCTCTTTGAAGTGAAACTCCAACTCAAAATTCGAGCTTAAATCTGGGCCGCTTCTACTCGGATCATCCACCCCATGCCTCTTGAGCCATCATCAATTATGTTAATTATCTCTAAGCCATGCTCATCCATGCTTAGTGACATAGACTTTTCAAATCCAAAGAAAGTTTCGAACTTTATAATGAAAGGATGGCCTTCGACATAATACCACTCCAGATCACCTAGGAAATTTGAAATGAGGCAATACAAGGCTTGTTATTAGACTCTCTATAAGTTGTGGCTAAAATCTCTCCAACATTATTAGATTGCATTCATAAGGTCATCCCACGGCAATAGAAGAATAGGATCTTTATCAGGTTGATTACCCATTCACCCTATCTAATTCAATACAGACATCAATTTAAACATGGAACATAATTTAGGTCCTTAATCAAGAATGTTCCTTCCTTATTAACAGAAATATAATTAATCATAAAGATTTGCACCCAAAGGAAACATTAATCTCCAGGATCTAAAATAAATTGTACCCAACGAGCCAAAGGAAACTATAAGAAATATAACAGAATCTACACTTGCAATCTCATAATTCCCAAAACACCATATGAATGGAAGGAAACCATAAGCACATGAGCCTTTTAGAGCCACAACCTCTGATGAGGACATTTGGCCATGGAGAGTTTACCAGAGACGGAGCCGACAATCTACAGCTAGGGATGTCAATTTTTGACACGACCTGAAACACGACCTGAACCCGACCCGAAAAAATCCGGGTTCAGGTTGAACAAATCAACCCGTTTTAAAAATCGGGTCGGGTTCGGGTTGATCCAGCAACCCGAAATTGACCCGAAAACTCATATTTGACCCGAAAACCCGAGGTCGACCCGTTTTTGACCCGATTTTGACCCGAAAATTAGCAATTTTAGATCAAATTCGGGTCATTCGTGTCGGGTCGGGTTGACCCGGACCCGAATCGGGTCGGGTTCGGGTCAGGAAACCTGACCCGTTTTTTTAAAAACGGGTCGGGTTCGGGTTGACCCGAACAGTGCCGGGTCAGTTTCGGGTTCGACCAAAACCCGACCCGCTGACCCGAATTGACACCCCTATCTACAGCCACGATTGCACCGCTTTACTTTTGAGTTAATATTTCTATTAGATTTATTATTATGTTTGCACTGAATTTATTATTACATATTTCCCATTTGTACTCTCACTTGACGGAGTAGTCCTATATAAGTACTAAGGGAAATATCAGAGACAACATTTTTTTAAGGTGGGTAAATTATAATAACCCGTATTTAAATCGAAGTAAATATTTTTTTTCTGGAGTAAATATAACTCCAAATTACAAACCGTCTTCACCATAGCATTGAAACTGTGGTATTTACTTACACGAATTTTTTTCGTAATTGGCACTTGTGAAAATCCTTAAAAAATTAGTACCTATCAGATAAGTGAGGATTTCGGGACCGTCAAGTGTCCATTTTGAAAACCGATTTCACCGATATTTTTTAAATAAAATGATTTATTTTATGTATATTTTTCTATAATTTTTAAAGACCTAAAATAATTTATTTGAATTTATACTAAAAGAAAGTGATTAAATTAAAAATATAATATTAACTTATTATTTTAATGGAAAATATCCAAAATCACTACCTAAATACTTTTTAAAAATCCCTTTCCCATTTGATTTCGACTAATAGAGAATATTAATAGGGAAAATAGAGAAAAAAAGTAAGAGAGAGAAAAAGAAAATTAATATTTGGAGGCCGCGGAGGGATTTTTGTCCGTCGACGCAGTAGGGAGATATTCGTCTCACTGTAAGGAACCTTCACCCTATTTCTGCTTTCAAATATTTTGTGTTTTTGGCATTTTTCTTATCAAATTTGTATTTCCATTACCAAAAAACGTAAATAATTTTGTATTGACAAAACTTTCAATGCGTAACTTTTTGCATGTTATAAAGATCGAGATTATGAACATTTTCAGTATTTATTTAAGATTTTTCACCAAGTGATTTTTAAAATACAGCGATTTTTCTCTACTCAAAAATTTATTTTGATGATTATTTTATGCAACATTTGATAATTTGGTCAAATTCTGAAAATGTGAATTTTTGCTCAATAAGATTTTGTTGTCTAACGTTAGTAAATTTGATATTTTCTAAATTATGCTAAATTATGCTTTATTTGCGGTAATATATGTTATAAATAAATGTGAATATGTGCTTAAGTAATAGCCAGTCGTTATTACTGGTATAATATTGTGATAATAATGTGTGTGTCGTGTAAAAGACAAGGACTGGTTGACCAGTTGGTTAGAGATTGACTGACCTGTATAGGATGGTGGGCCGACGGCTTTTTTTAAATAAAATGATTTGGTGTTATCCTCTACTAATTCACGTGATACACTTGTTGGGAGTTATAACAAGATTATTACTGTGCTGACGGGCAAAAAATGACGACTCTATTTACTGAACCAACGGTTTACTAATATTGATACTAACACTAAAAAATAGCGTGATAGCCAAGACTTCTTACTTGTTTAGTGTGATTACTTAAATTCATGTTTAGAGGCATGATTCTTGTTATTATACGGATTTATTAGCATTGTACATATTTGCTGTTATTACATTATTCTACTATTTTTGTCACTTGAATATTATTATTACCGATCTGGATATCGATACTATTTGATAATATTGATTCAATGTACTTATAATAAGCATGTGATATAGGAGGCCTAGATAACATGTGTACATTCTTATATGATTTTATTGCATTGATTTGATTTTGACAGGCTTAATCAATATTTTGATTTGAAGCTTTATATGAGTTCTGTACATATTAGTATTACGGATACGACGATTACTTCATAGATTTGGGGCTCATATTGATTTACTACTTTATTGGCTTTCATACTATAGTATTTTACGTGAAAATGTTAGAGTAGCTCCAGTGGAAGATAAGATTAGAGAGAGTCGTCTTAGATGGTTTGGCCACATGAAATAGAGGCCTTCCGATAACCCTATCAAGAAAGTTGAGCTATAAGATTTGACTTATGTTAAGAAAGGTAGAGGTAGACCTAAAAAGACTTGGTTAGAAAATATTAAAAATGATCTTTTTTTTTAGATTTAAATGAGAATTTGATTTTTAACATGACACAATGACGAAAAAGGATTCATGTAGCTGACCCCACGTAGTGGGACAATGGCTTGATGTTGTTGTTGTTGTTTTTGTATAGATTCTAATAATGTTGCATGTGAATTTTATTGTTTACACATTGATTCAATGATTATATGGATGCAATTGTTATGATTTGACTGTTGACAAACATATTGCTCATTTGTCGTGCTTTGATTTTAGTTGTAGGTTTTGGTGAATTGGTGGGCTTTTTAAGCTCATTATATTTAGTTAAATGATTTCAGGTTAGGACAGACGAACAATGGTGTGAGGAAGGTCAGAATTCTTCAGGTTCTATTTTTTTTAATTTTTCATTTATACTCAGGACAGAATAATTATGAAATGATTGTATAAATCCTGAATATTATATATGATTTTTTGGATTGAATATAGATGTATACATTAATTTTTTTAATTATAGAATATATTTTATTATTTGTTACTGATATATGATATCGGATAGCTCTGGTTGTTGTTTATTAAAAGATTAAAAGAATAATTTTTCAATTTAAATTTTTGGGCATCACGACTTAGAACTAAATAAACCTTGATATCGATCATTGGGGGAAATCTGGTTAATATAAAATCTAATCTTGCGAAAGCGGAGTTCGTGTTGTAGCGCCAGCAAAAGCGGAGTTTGTACTTTACACTGTATTCACTACGATACAGGTTGTGTAATGCATTTTTTAAATTAGGTTGCATATATTTCAAATATCTATGAGTTATTTTTGTTCATTTTCTGACATTTTTTAAACTTGTAGAGGAGAAAATTTTTTTAATTATAATTTTCTTCTTGATAAAAACTATGTATTGACTATATATCGACTTTGTATTATATTTCTAAGTTATATTTCACAGATTTCAATCATCTATGAGTTTTTTTTTTTTTTTGTCAAGATTTTTGAACTTGTAGAGTAGAAAAAAAAAATTTACTAAGATTTTTCCTTATACACACTATGTATTATAATTTAATTATAAGTTTTATGTGATGCTTATACATGTACGTCCCAAATACTACTTATCATTGTAGACCATCAATATTTACACTTATCTGTGACTCGTTGATCGAGATTTTAGACAATGAGGTTGAGGACTTTTTAAAAAGATTACACATCAATTTTTTATGTTTCCTCCATTCTAGGAAAATGTTCCCCTGACATACGAGCTGTTCTCATTATGGGATATTCCTCATCAATGATTTAGTATCAAGGGTCATGAGCTACGATTCACTACAGATGAAGTGGCTCTACTTATAGGATTGCTAAACAAAGGTGTTTATATTATCTTGGAAAGCAAGCTACTTACATCATACACCTAAATCAATATTAAGAATGAGATGAGAAACATCAACAAATCAACTTACCCATCCCTTATTTTAAAGAAATTTATTATGTTTATGTTGTCAAATTTATTTTTTTTCCCTTAATAACTATAAAACTCTAAAAAGGCTCATTAGTGTTGCATAGAATATATTTCGCTTGAGTAGATCTAAAAATGAATATATAGAATGTAATTTTAGTAGCAATAGACCTAGTGAGGGGATTGTGACTTTGGGCGATCAAGTCATTAATAAGAGTATACGTTTTAGATATCTTGGATCTATTGTTCAGAGTGATAGTGAAATAGATGGGGATACTATCAGCAGAATTCAAGTTGGATGGTTGAATTGGAGGAATGCGTCGGGCTTATTGTGTGATAGAAAAGTCCCCCTCAAACTTAAGGGAAAATTCTATAAATGGTGGTGAGACCTAGGGGTGTCAATTCGAGTCAGCGGGTCGGGTTCGGGTCGAACCCAAAACTGACCCGGCACTGTTCGGGTCAACCCGAACCCGACCCGTTTTTAAAAACGGGACAGGTTTCCTGACCCGAACCCGACCCAATTTGGGTCCGGGTCAACCCGACCCGACACGAATGACCCGAATTTGATCTAAAATTGCTAATTTTCGGGTCAAAATCGGGTCAAAATTCAATTTTCAGGTCAAAATCGAGTCAAAATCGGGTCAAAAACAGATCGACCTCGGGTTTTCGGGTCAAATATGAGTTTTCGTGTCACTTTCGGGTCAATTTCGGGTTGCTGGGTCAACCCGAACCCGACCCGATTTTTAAAACGGGTTAATTTGTTCAACCCGAATCCAACCCGATTCGGGTTCGGGTTGACCCGAACCCGGATTTTTCCGGGTCGGATTCGGGTCGTGTTTCGGGTCGTGTCAAAAATTGACATCCCTAGTGAGACCTGCAATGCTTTATGGTGCCGAATGTTGGCCATTAAAAGAGAAGAATAATACTAAGTGTTGCAGAGATGAGGATTCTTAGGTGGATCAGTAGCTTGACCCTAAGAGATAAGATAAGAAATAAGCATATACGTGAAAATGTTGGAGTAGCTCCAGTGGAAGATAAGATTAGAGAGAGTCGCCTTAGATGGTTTAGTCACATTAAACAGAGGCCTTTCGATGACCCGGTTAGGAAAGTTGAGGTATTAAATTTGACTTATATTAAGAAAGGTAGAGATAGATCTAAAAAGACTTGGTTAAAAAATATTAGAAATGATCTTTCCTTATTAGATTTAAATGAGAATCTGACTTTTAACCGGACACAATGGCGAAAAAGGATTCATGTAGCCAACCCCACATAGTGGGATAAAGGCTTGATGTTTTTGTTGTTGTAGTGTTGCACAGAATATAAATGAGTTATCATCTATTTACTGGTTAGGGACCATAACAGATTTTTTACAGTTAAATTGGATTGCCAACAAGTTTGTTGAGGAGACCCCACTGGGTTATATAAATAGTTTTGTACTTTTGCTAATTATGATTGCTAAGAGCATCTAAATATCTTTCTAATTATTATTTCATTTTATGAATTCATTGGCTAATATTACATTTGATCTTATACATATTTGGTTCCTAGAATGCATTTCAATAAATGCCTATAAAAACCCTAAACCAATACCTCATGTCCTTTGGTGGGTTAGTTTTAAATTTTATTCTGCCAAACAGATCTCCACATTATTTAATCAGCTAAATGATAGCCATGTACGCATGCAGATTTGTCTTGGATTACATTTTAATTAATGCCCGACACAGTAAATACAGAGCTTGTACACAATCAATACACAATAAAAACACAGCTTGTACAAAGTCAATATACAACTTGTATACAATCAATACACAGCTTGTACATAATGGTAATTATACATAGTAATATATATTGAATGTGTATTGATTGTATATAAGCTTACACAGTGTATTATACAAGCACATAGATGTATTAGGGGAAGACAACATTCCAGTAAATTTCCCTTCATAAAAATTCTGTCTAGAAATTAGAAAAAAAAAACTATGCATAAACTTAGGAGTTTTAAATTTACCGATAAGTTGAAACTTACAGCACCTCCAACCAAACTAACTTTTTGTTCATACTGTAAACTCTCAATGGTTGGTTGCAGTCTTATTATCTTCAAGTCTTACTGGATGTTTGCATGCTGCTTTTGAGCCTCCACATCCTGTGAGCATGTCATCTCCTCAAAGAATGCAACGTTCTCCTCCAAATCAGTCTTCATATTCATCAGTTATTCCTCGTTTCTTTCTCAGCAGGTATCAAAAATTTTATTGAGCTAAAATTCTAAATATTATAAAGCTTTCGTGGGTTTTTTTCTTTAAAAAGGAGCGTCAACCCTAAAGCCTAAATTTGAACGGGATGGTGAAACCCTTTTTCGAAAACTCAAAACTACCACCTCTGGGCAGAGCTGGGTCGGTCGGGCTGGCAACAGAAAAATAAATAAATAAATAAATATATTAAATATTCACGTGTCACGTTTCATTTGAGTTTGGAGGCAGAGCTACGTTGGGACTCCGCACATAATAATTTCTCCTAACTAAGAGTCTGTTTGGAGCAAAATTTTTACATCTTTGCTTTCCAGACATTTGTCACAAATTTTTTTAGCAATAACTTTCTTCTTGCTTTCAAAATTTAATGTGATAAGAAGCAGCTTTTTATAACCAAATCTGTTAAATTATGATAGCTATAGGAAAGCTACAGCCCGCCTTTCTCAAAAAAATAATCTAATGGTTATGAGAGAAAAAAATAATAACTGATATCAGGCTTAAAATTCAACCGGTTATATCCCTCCATTCCCATATCCAGCCTAACATTGAACCACAGTGTTGTTTCTCACACTGCGACTGGCACCAAAAATGCCAGAAATATCTATATATCCACGATCTGCCACCAATATCCTCTCCATTCAACATAAGTAAATAAATAATATTTGCATAATTGCACTTATAGCGGACCCAAAGCCTATCCATAATAAGAAGCAAAAAAAAAACTCCAATTTTGCAGTAGACTGCAATCAAACAAAACTGAACAACTTACCTTCACAGAAGAACCGTCCAGTTGTATGACATTTCGGCAATCTTGTTCAACTCTTTCCCAGTCTCTAACAGAACCAGCAGGACACCAAAACAAATACTTTCAACAACCATCAAAAAAAATTCCAACAAGAAATGAAGGGCGAGAGTGAAAGTAATTACTTTCTCTTGAAATAGCAGAGAGCCCGATTGGACCAATAAACAGCCACATCAGGGCAAAGTGTTATAGCCTAATACCCAATTCACAAAACCACGAAATCGTAAGAATCAATGTGACCCAAATGAAAACAACGGAAGATGAAGAACCTCAGTATACGCATCGATCGCGGCTCCAAGGCGTTCTTTTTTGAATGCGACGTTGCCATTGTGGCGTGAAATCTCCGCTTGCTTGGCAACGCTCGCAGTATCAGTAGCCATCCGCGTCTCAGCTCTCTTAGCTTCCTCAGCTTAGAACTTGCAGAAACCTTCTCTATGAAGATTTATTCATGGCCCTACCAAATCAAAATCGGGCCTCCTTGATTCTTTTCCCGTACTATGGCTCTCAGAGGGAAAGCTAACGAAGCAGGAAAGGAAGAGGAAAGCAGGTTTAAAGTAAAATTATAGCGCGTCAAATCTTTTTTTTTTTTTTTTTTAATATATCAGTTGTCTGAATTTATGTTTAATAATGATAAAAATCAATACAAAATGTAATAGATAATCAGATATTATTGTACATCATTTGATTATCTGTAAAATCAGCAGTTGCAATATAAAATGATTCTTAAAAAAATAGAATTTTTTTTATTGGATGGTGCTTAATATGTAAAAATCATGGCAGGATATTTGAATAATTTTTTTGTTAGAATAAGCTTAAGACTTTAATAAATAGTGTTTGTGATAAAATTATTTAATTTTAATTTCTCATATTAAAGTTTGATGTAAAATATAATAAAATATTAAATATTTATTTATAATATAATAAACATTATGAAAAACTTAACATATCTCAAAATTTTAAGTCCCGTTAAAAGATTATTTGGCTTGAAGTAAAATAGAAATATTTCAAATGAAAAGATTTTGAAACTATTGAGTTTTGGTCTGAAGTAAAAAAAAATGCAAAATAAAATTCATATGTATTTAAAATTTATCATCTAGTTTAATTTTGGTGTATTAGAAATCATTATATTTAACTAATTTTTAAATACATTGCAAATTATTTGTCGTTGTTGCCAGCCCCATCACCACCACCATTATCATCGCTGCCAGCCTGACACTGTCGCCTGGAGCCATCCATTGCCTACCACATGTCGTCACCACCACTCAGCCAATTGTTGTCACTAACCACTAGCCACCATCATTATTGAGTTTTATATAACATTTATTTTACTTCAAATCAAATAAAAAAATTAATTATCTGAATTTATTTTACACTCATCCACATAACTCAAATTATTATATTACATTCTATTTTATTATAAATTTCTTTTTTAAAAAATGTAGTCACCCCTTAATATAATTTTAATCATAATTTTCTGAAAGAATTTTTTTCATTTATTTTACTGGTATTTAAGCGATAAAATAGCTGACTAAGATGAATATATATATATATATATATATATATATATATATGTTGTGTGAGAGAGGATAGTAGTGAGTATTGAGTGGTGGGGTGTATAAAACTGTAAAAGTTAAGAAGAGAAGACATGAGGAGCTTTTATTTTTTTTAGCTCCCACATCATTTGGCGCAGACTTTTCTTCGGTTAATGCTTTTGACTTGAACTAATTTGACTTTGAGCTGAAAGAAGTATACATCACCGTAAAAGAATGGAAACTTCATGAAATAGTTGTTTTGGCCAAATTTGTAATTTAAAATTTAAGCGATTTCAAATATGCGAAATGTAAATTACAGAAGTATTTTTTTAGATACTTTAAAAATGCAGTTATTTTGAAAATTTAAATATTTAAAACAAACAAAGACCGTTGAACTAGCTCGCGTTCCAAGAGAATCGTCGCATCGGTTCACCGGCATTGAACCGGCGGGTTCTTGGCAAACAAACTGGCTGGTTTCGATACTAAGCCCGGTTCTTAGGCTTGAACCTAATCGGCCTCGGCCTACGTGCCGATTTAAATGCACTTTGGAATGTAAACTCTTTTCAACCCACAACATTAAATTTTACATATTTTTTAATGCAGAGCGAAAGCTTCAATATTTATGAATTAAAAATAAAATATACATAAAATCACTGCTACTACATAATACACATAAGCTATTTAATGCAAATAGAAATTAGTCGCTTATGTCATACCAAGTAATTTTTCAAAAAAAAAAATAAGCACTCAAACATTACTAATTACTTATACTGTCACTATATGAATACCATTATCATACAACTATATATTATATACCTCATATAACTATAATTCTATATC